AGTAGATGATTACAGTGTTGAAATATAGAACTGTGAATAAATTTTATTAATTTTTTTTTTTTTAAATAAACCATATTAAAGGTGCTTTAGAGGAAGACGTATATGAAACATTGGGCATATAAGCCCTGTAAAGTGACATCAATGGGGATAAGACCTAAATGACATTAAAGACTACTTAATTAAACAATGATACACCGAGTTTAATCAAAATCGTTGGAGCTGTTTTTGAAAAAAAATGTGTTTCACCGTTGATATAAAGTGCCACTTCCGGTTAGCCAATTTAGACGAAAACGTTGCTGTAACATCTGAGGTATACACATACATCAAATGCGCAATTTCACTTTCATACAACTTTTAGTTTTTTAACTAGACTCGTCCATACAGACCATCACAGACACACACACACAAACAGGCCATTTGGTGGAATTTGTTTATTTGAACTCAGGAGACCTCAAAACACGTATTTCCGTTGAAAACTCAGACCCGAAAATTTTCAGGATACTGTCCCTTATTATTTCATATATAGATAAGTGAAAGTAAAAATGAATTATTAACTACATATCCTTGACTTATGTCAGATTAGTAAAAATACGAAATTTTGAATAATGTTTGAAAAAATGTACAAAACGAATCATAATTGTAACTAGTGGTACTAAATAGAAGGATCGTTGAGCTCATGGTATTGGGGTGGAGAGAGGGTGCTTGAACCTTTAAGAGACCCAGTAAAATTGTAGGATTTTATAATTAAAGTTTTGTAGATAAATAAAAAAAATACAAAATATCATTAGTTAGAAGGTATAAAATATGTCATCATGATATATTTATATACACTTACATACCACAGGAATAGGGATGGACCGTCCCGTTCCACCCGGTTCGCGGAATAAATTCCATCATCAGAACGATTCGGAAAGGAAGGAGACCTTAGGAAACTTCGTTCCACTGGAACGTAATCTAAGAGCAGAATGTAAACGTCTTTAACGGTTTTGATGGGTAAATGTTCGGCAGCAAAGTCAAATAACTACCAAAGAGATTTATAGCAATTAAGGTGAGTGCGCTATAGCAGATTGCCGCCGAAGTGGATTAACGTAGCAGTCAACGGACAAAAATAGCAATTTGCAAATTTTAAAAATATTAATTAAAATGCCAAGATTCAGATAAACTATTACAATAATAAAGTAATTATAAATAATATTAATATAATTATTTAAATCAAGTATTATTATTATTAAGACTGATAAACATGTGGTTCTGTAGTGCAAATGAAATTTATCATAGAATATTTTATATCATTGGTTTTTTCACAGATTATTTGCATTTAGAAAACCTCATATTTCGAATTTTATTTTATTATACTTTTTTTAGCTACCTATAAGAGTCATAAGCAGTATCAATATTGTTTAAAAATGTTGGAAGTTAAAAAGAATAAATATTTTTACTGAATATTGTTTTTTGTTTTTTCATTATTATTGCTATATTTTTAAATCACATTCCAACGGCAGAACGAAGAAAAAACAAAAATAGCCGTCTCGTTAGTCGAAATGAAAATGCCTTGAACCGGTTCGAGGAAACAATTCCACCTCGAGAACGGAAGGTTTTCTCGTTCCGAGTGGACTGGTATTCCACTTCTGTAACAGTTTGGAATGGTTCCGACCGGAACGAACGGTTTTTTTTGTTCAGAGGGGCTTTCGGAATTTCGATCCATCGAAGTATTAACACTTTTAGGTTGCATTACATTCCGTTTTCGTTCCAATTTGAGATTTCACTTTTAGCGTCCCTTTGAAATAATTATGATACACATTAAAGTGTCTACGTGTGTTGTTATTTTTAGTTTAAATTAGTGAGCCTTAAATTAATTAAATTGTGTGTATAATAAAAAAGTAAAATAAAAAGCAGAAATTGATTTGCATTCATTAATATTTTTCTGTAACTTGGGGTAAAGGAATATTTAAAGAAAATTAATAAGACAATAAATGAATTGCACCAACCAAATAGTTTTATAGCAGGCTTATATTTAAATAAATAAAGATAGAAACCAACAAATTTATAATATAAAATAATTCAAAATCGTTTTTACTTTATCAGCTGATAGTAGAGTCCGACATTCATTAATCAACATTTCAGCTTTTGAAAAAATACTTTGGCATGGAACCGATGTGGCGACTATACTGAACATTTCTTTGACAATGATTTACAAATTAGGATAGTTGTTCTGCAGACTAAACCACCATTTAATAGGATCCTCATTGTCATCTAAAATATCCTTTTCTAAGTACCTGTTTAGTTCAATCATTGCCTTTGATTCAGGTGTCCCTTATAGAGAATGTTGCTCTCTGGCTCTCATCAATGTTCCAAAAACGTCAAGTTGTTTTTTTTTTCTCTTCATTATTCAGGAGTTCTCTCCATTCATCTCCATTCTCCTCTGTCTCGATGATTTTTGCGTTGTTTTAAATAGTTTCAGCATCACACATATTTCTTTCATTATTCGCTATCCCATTTCAAGTGTTCGAAACAAAGATGGAATGGTACGAGAACTGAAACAAATTTCAGTGGTGGAATATTCCGTTTCTGCCTGTACCCGGAATTACCCATACCTACACATAAGAGTCCTTGGTCTAGGGATGTGGAAACCTTGGTTGCAATATTATAAAAGTTCATAAAATATACAAAATTTAATTTTATGCCACTCCTTAAGGGTTTTTATTGTTTCTCCTGTTTTCTCAAATGGTTCCTGACTAGTATGAAATTTTAATAAATAATACATTACATTCATAATCTTTACTCGTTCATCACCTTATCTTATTTGGATTTAAAGACCCACAGGGAAGAATACCCATCATATTAAATAAATATAGTTTTAAAAATGAAAAGATAGATTAAATTACAGATTCAATGAAGATGTGAACTCTCTATTCACATAATGTTATAATATTTATTATTATTATTCAAAGGCATAGAAATCCTTAGGCTATCAATAATTATTCATAACATCATTACATAATCTAGTATATTACAAGCCTTAAGGGCTGTGATGCAGTTATATCCTATGCTTAAGGTCCCAGGTTCGAATTCAGCTGATGGCAGGTATTATTTATTTTGTTTTATTAGCCATGGATCTACCTTCCTGGATAACTGGAGGACCCTCCTGGGACACACCCACCCTCTTTAAAAAGGGTAATCTGAATTAAACAACTAATTAAGAGGGAAAATCTGTCAATTGAGAGTATAAAGAGATATTAAGGTTCATAGAGCAATAGGAAATTGATGTCTCTTCAGGGTATAGAAACTGCTGAAATGCAAAAATCTGTCCAGAAAGGCAAGATCTCTGCTATATAGAACAATTATGAGACCTATTATGACATAAGGATGTGAGACAAGGTCCATGACTGAATAAAGGTTCAAAGTACTTTTCTACACGTGAAAAAGAAAAGTGCATTGAAAAATGTACGGGCCAATCAGAGGATCAATTAAGAATGATGGCTAACATAGAGTTAGAACAACAATATGGTGAACATGAAAGTAATGGTTGGGCGATATGCAAGGCAACCTGAGACGGGTACATGGGGGTGGAGACGCTTTGCAGCTGACAGGGACTAATGGAAGAAGACATCAGCAGAGGCCAAGGTTTTTTAAGGACTATATAGCCCAGCAATGCATGAATGTAATATTTATTTAAAACATAATAGCATACTCCAGCCCATAAATACACTAATTAAATAATGAATTGAAAATAAAGTACTTTTAAAATATCTTACTATAAACAAAAAAAATTAAGTGAATGAAATATAACCTACTAAGAAATATTAGATTTCAAGCACCATAACAAATCAATTGACCAATCAAAAATGAAGAATAGTTTGTTAGAATATAGTAACTGGTATTTTAATTGCCCAAAATTAATATTTTAATTATAAATAACATTTATCAATAGGACTAAATTCTATAATTACATTTTAATAAGCCACTTTAGGTTTTTAAAATAATAGTACTACATTCAAGATGTGACAATTATGATAGAAAATGAACTTCCAAGATCTCTTGATCCCTTCCTTCCCCACCCAAGACAATCAAGGTATATCAAATTTTGTGAATAGCCATTCTGCCAAGATAATTGATAAATTAGTAAAATATCATTTTGCCTAAAACGTTTTGTGGATAAATCAGTCAGTAAAAATGAAATAATAGAAAAAATATAAATGTTATGTGAAAACAATGCACAAAGCCAAAAAAATCAAATTAAACTTGATATAATGAAGAGAAGGATAGTCGGGGTGATCAGTCAAAGTAAAAATGACAAAAATAAATAATAATATTTATTTTAACATTTGCCGACGTTTCGACCCGCAATTCAGGCCTTCATCAGGGCTGAAATACAGGTTGAAATGTCGGCAGATGTTAAAATAAATATTATTATTTATTTTTGCCATTTTTAGTTTGACTGATCACCCTAACTATCGTTCTCTTCATTATTCACTACAGTTAACCATCAACCCACTATTACAAACATGATTTAATTTATTTTTAAGCCATGATTACAAGAGCAATTAACAGTTTTAAAATGATTAAAAAATAATGAAAACTTTTAAATATTTTCATCCCCAAAAAACTAAGCAAGTCTCAAATAATACAATAAGGTAATAATTCAATATATTATCAAAGTATTATGACTTTTATAGGTAATTACTTACTGTTATCTACCTGTGGTTCAACTAGAATTCACTTTAACTTTTCAAAAACACATGTTAATAATTTTCTTTAATTTCAAACTAATGTATCAGAAATAAACTAAATATGTATTACTATATATCTCTTTAATTTTTACTAAAGATTAATAAAATATATTACAATTTATTATATAAATACAACTAATGTCATGGTACAAATGTAACAAAAGTTTTTAGAGCATATTAATTTCAATTTAAAAAATGTACAAAATTCATTACATAATGAAGAAAAATTGTGAAAACTTAAGATCATCAATGAGTAGAATGAATTTAGACATAATAGTGGCAATATAATCTAATTGTTTGGTCTAAGATAAAAACTAGCACAACATATATAAATAAATAAAAATCTTTAATAATGCTATAAGTAATCATATCACAACTTAATTCATAATTCATGAAAACACATGTTTATTTAAAATGCACTTTTATGGAATAAACTTTCAAGATATATAATAAAATTTAAGGACTTGTTCATATAGGATTATATAATTTAAATCATAAAATTTTCAATTTGTTACATATAAAAGCTAAATGAACTGGTTTAAAACAATTAAATTACTGATAAGTAATCCATTAAGTAATGTAAAAAATAATAATTCCAAAATTGACAATTACTGAATCATATTTACCGTCACAGATTCAATTAACAGTCTCTCTGTGGGGTTAGTAAAATAAATAAATAAATATCTTTATTATAAACTATCATTCTTAGAATGATAAAATAACCAGAGTTGAATCAAGATTTAATTTTTATGAAAAATTATAATAATAAAATTGATAACTACAGAGCAAAGTTCAAATTAGAAAAAAAATTAAATTTATTTCAGCAATAAACATATTTAATATGAACATAAAAATTACACTAAACAAGCAACTGAAATTTTCATAAAAACAAAAAATAAGGAGACTAAATATTAACATCAATTACTTAATTATGGTAACTAGAAACATTGACTTATTCCTACCCAAAATTTACAATTAAAATAAATATAACTACATTAATAATGAATAGGAAATTATAAATTAACGCTATAATAAAATTTTATATAGCTATTATAATTATCATTGAATAACAAATTATTTATGTAAAAAAATATACTAAACATAAATTTTGGAAAATTTAGTATTAATTTTTATGAATATTTTTGTTAAATTTGATTAATAAATGAAACTGGTATAATCACAACAGTAACAAGAAAAATAGAAAAAGGAAAGACATATTAACATATACTAATTTATCTTTGCAATTCTTAATCCTTGAGTGATTTTTAACTAATTATGTTGTACAGCTACAACTCAATAACTGAATCAAAAATTCTTCTGTTAATACATGAATAATAAAAATTTATAATGTTTTAAAAATAAAATGATTGTTTCAACTGGCAAGAGTTGTAATAATGTTTTTAACTATTAGTTAATTACTGAACAACAACCATTTATAATTAAGAAACTTTTAAGAAGTTCCTAAGAGGAATGAATCCAAAAATTATAAATCGTAAACAAAGCTGTTTTGAATGATTAAATATATATATATATATATATATATATATATATATATATATATATATATATATATATATATATATATATAAAAATATGAACTTATTTTGAATATAAATGTTGAATTATAAAATATAATTACATTGATAACAAAATGAACTGCTTTTCCTATAAGAATGCTTACAATCTCATAACCACTCATATGTATATATATAATCTCATTACAAAAAATAGACACTATGTTGTATAATATATAAATTTTAGCGAACAATAGAATAATATAAATTTTAAAAATTTGGTGTGTGTATACGTATGTATATCCATATACATACATTTACTTTCCAGCATCTGCACCAATGAATAGAGAACAAGTAATTCAGCATTATGAATCTAATGAAGCCATAGCAGTTTCTAGCTTTGAAGTTATCTAAAATAAGAAAAGCTCTATGTTTATAATATATAACGCAACAACAATAATAAACATTTATGTAATTTACCAATATGAAATGATGTAATGTATATATAGAAATAGAAATAGAAATAGAAAAATCATCTTTATTCTGGGACTAGGTACCTTTAGAATAACAGTATTGTTCATATATATTAACTATAAATCTGGTCAAAAGACTTATTACAATGAATAATAACAAAATACATGTAATACATTAAGTATTAATTAAGCTCTTAGGATAAATTAACAAGGACAGTTGGGTAATAGGGGTTCAGTACTACAATATTGGAGCTAAAATAATTGCATAATAATCACTGAATGAAATTAGAAAGGAAAGTAAAATCTATTTTATAGGTAAAGCATTGTAGTGATGGAATATAAAAATTAAAAAAATAATAATAACTGTTAATATGTAGGGAAAGAAATTGTAAAAACTAAAACAAAAAAAAAAAATAAAAAAACAAATAATGATATACATATGTTCCCTAAGATATTTAAGTGATTATGCGTAAAGATTAGGAGAAGAGAAAATAAAATAAAGTATACATATACACATAGCGAGAAGTATGTTGAAGATAATTAGAAATAAAATACATTTCACTGAAATACATTTCATGAATAACAAATTAGAACTTAAGAAAAACAAATTTTATCTACTCACAATGCTTAGCGAGTGGTGATGAAAATTCACGTTCAACAGAGAATAAAACAATAAAAAATAAGAGAAAAAAAATAATGTCTAAAGAAAATTAAATCCTTATAACATAGTATGTATTTAACCAGCGTCTGATTGGATTGTGAAGAGGAATTGGAATAAGAGGGTTTTAAAGGTGGATAAGGATGATGCATGGCGGATTTTTAGTGGGATGGAATTCCAGAATGCAGTGGAACGGACAACGAAGGAATGCTTAAATGATGCAGATCTGTGGAAAGGAGTGTAAAGGTCAGAAGGACGAGATCTTGTGGAGAGGGTGTGGATAGATGATTTGAATTGTAGGAGATTGTATGCATAGGACGGACGATGACTATTGATTATTTAGTAAAGGAATGTGCCTAGGAAATATTGTCTTCGGAAGGAAGGGAAGAGCCATCCTAATTCAGCATAGTGGTGCGAAACATGGGAATACCTCAGGGCCCCTGTGACAAATCTTAAGAAGGCATTCATAATTCTTTTCAGTCTCTCCCCGAGTTCTGCCGAGAGGCCACTGTACACCACGCAGCCGTAATCAAGGTGGGGGAAGATGAGGGAAGTTACTAGGAGTCTACATGTATTATATAAATAAATAAATAAAAATAATAATAAACATTCACTTCCTGCACAGATAACATTTGATATTTATTGTAATAAGAAAAATTATACTGTTTCATAATTAATTAAAACCTTCTTTAAGATTTAAATAAAAAATAAATACAAAGGTTGTTTAAAATATATGTGTGTGCATATGTGTATGTACACAATAACCTTATTATATAGAAGGAAGGTCATATCTGATCCAAAATCTATACATATACATGCACACCTGGTGTCAATATATATAAGGAAAGATACAACTTTTTTCATATAATTTAATAGTTATTATATAAATTAAATAAACATGACTGAAATGTTATTTATTTAATTTATTATTTTCAAACGGCATTCCACTTTTTAGCTGTTCACATACACACACACATATACCATTTTAAGGAACTTGCTTATTTGGAAACTATATTCTTTTTTGTTGATTTTTTTTTTAAAACTAAGATTCAAATTTTTTTATAATAGCAATATTTTCTTCACAATACATTATATTTATAATGTATTGTGAATTTAGGAGTAACACATTTAAATATAGTTGAAGTCAACTTTAATTAAAGAGAAAATAAATTACCTTTTGAAAAAAGCTGATCTGCTGAGAAAGAAAATTTTTGAGAGATTTTGACACTTCTTCTGTTCTTTCACTATAAAAATGATTGAGTTCAGCCAAAAGAGCATAGGAAACAATATCAGTCCTCCTAGTAACACCTTCCAACTTGTTGGTAGTTAATTTCTGCTCAAAAGCTAACTTCTCACATTCTTTTTTAGTTTGTACAGCTTTCTAAAACACCATTAGAATAATACACATACATGAATTGATCATTAAACATTGAATTCTGTAAGGCGAAATACATTGTTTTCCCATAGTTCGAAGTATTCCAACAATAATCTTTTTTTCTGAGCTTATTGCTCCTCCTCTCATAGAATAATTAAATTGTGCAAACAATAAGGACAGTTTAGAAGCAATGGTTATAAAGCATAATATGACAAGATAATAGCAAACAAAACTGAGCTTTGCTTAACTAACTTAGTAAATGTTAAGAATAAAATAAAATAAGTCTAAAGCATTCTATAAATAATTGATAATTAGATGTTAAAAAGAAACTAAAATAAATACAAAGTGTTCTACAAATAATGAAAATAAAAGTTGAAATCACTGTTTGTTTGATCTTTCAAAGAGCCATCTTAGCTAAGATTATGTTGGGCTAGCAATTGAATAAGCCACAATAAAGGATAACATTTAAAAATATAAATGGTAGGGAGTTTGGCATAAAAACTAAGAACCTCTAAACCACCACAAAAAAAAAAAAACCTATTCTTATACTTCTAGACTTGTCTTAATTATTTGACATACAAACATTTAAAAAATATGAAACAATCCCTAATCTAAGAGTGCTAGGTCAGATCATCCATAATATGTTCACTTCCAATTATAAGATAACATACAGTTTGTGATTTGCATTATAGCTTAAGACAACAAATACAAATCATGGTTTGCATATTTGCCTAAGAGGTCAACTATGAGTTATCTTGTAATTGGTATTCTTAGCTATAATGCAAAACAAACTGTGCATTGGCTCATAGTTAGCAGTGAAAAAAGGAATCAACATCCACGGAAATGGATAATAAACATTCGTTGCGAGAACATATAGGGACTATCAGCCAAGCTATCCATCCTAACAAGAGAAGTCAATAAATTCAAAATGGTCATATCTGAAACTAAAAAGAAAAATGCAAGGATAGCAAAGAAACAGGAGACTTTATTCACTTGTGATCAGGTATCGAGACAAGGGTATCGAGAAATCAGGTGTCTCTATATTGATAAGGAAAAAACTAAAAAATAACATCCTGGATGGGATATAAGGAATAAAAGGATAGTTAGGATAAATATAACCCTTTAAGCAAGGAAAGTTGTAGTAGGAATTTATGCAACCACCAATGATATAGATTAGAAAAAGAAGGATGAATTTTGGAATGAGCTCGGAGAAATGATAGAAACAATTCCAAAGCAGAAGGAAGTTTTACTATTTGGAGATATGAATGTAAGAGACAGTAAAGATAGTAACAGTGAGATAATTGGAGAATCAGAGCGTAATGATAATGGTAAAAGATTCATTCAGATGTGCGATCAACTGGACCTCAAAGTTACAAATATATTTTTTGAACACAAAGGTACCCACAAGTTAACCTGGTATAATGAAACTGGACAAATGAAATCTATATCATGGGTGATAAATATTCAGGACGCAGTCTTTTAAAATTTTTTTTTTTATTTGTGCCAACATTTCAACCCAAACATGTGGGTCAACTTCAGGGGATGGTTCGAGCACTGAATGCTTTCAAGTACTTGAGTACTTGAAAATCAAACCTAATTTGTAATTAAACAGAAAACAATAAAATATCTGGAGAATATATTTCTCTTTCTAAAACACTGATGAATATTTAAAATATTTGAAGTGATTTTGTAGAAAATGCACTAAATCGGTGGTGTATAGGTGCCTACAAGCCTCAGTGGCAGTACTCATAAATGGCATAGTTATAGGCATGCTATTATAACGTTTTTGGTACATTGTATTGATTTTATTAACGAACAAATATTAATACAATGATTTAACTGTCCAAAAAATATTCAGTATTTCTTTCGAAGGTTGGGCCATATGTTGCAAACATAGGAAATTTTAATATTGAATGCTTTTTTTTCTCTGCACAAAGAAAGATAGAAAGAGTGAAGCTCTTTGTTCTTCTTGGTAACCGGAAATAATTGTTAGTATGTGGTATCAAAATGAGGAAAGATGTGAAATTGAACCCAAAAATTGGAAAAATACATTAAGCGAACGAGGAAGGAATTGCCAAAATTTCGGAAAAGGAAACCAGGATCAGTGTAGACAGCTGAACAGAATATTTCAAGGAGTTCCTAAAAGGGGGTCAAATGGAGGTTTATTATGGTGTAGACCATTTTATTTTCGATTGCTAAAAAGTTTCACATTGAGACTATCTTCACTTTGAAGCAGGTTATAGAGAGATCCATCAAGAAAGAGAAGTAGCTCTTCTTCTGTTTAGTGAATTTGGAAAAAATCTTTGAAGTAATCAGAAAGACAAACATATTTGTACAATCCAAAGTGTGAGGCACTAAGCAGATAAAGTGATATTTCCCTTTCTCGATGGACTTATCCCCTTAACATGAAGATAGTCCCAATGAGCAACTACTGTTCCAATGTGCAACTTCTGTTTCACAATCCATATTGCTCTGGCAATCGACAATATTACTTACACTAGCTTCTACAATTCTTGAGTAGAGCTTCTTTGGCATACTAAACAGGAATGAATCTTGATGGGTATTACATTTCCTGATATCTCCTTGCTTGTAAAGAGGCAAAACTACAGGTCTATCAAATAACTTTCTAATGGTATATTAACATACGTAAGGCTCTATCATGGGAAGCCAGAGGGAGTTAGGTGTAGGGGAAGACCGAAGGCAAGATGGATATACAACGTGAAAGAAGACCTGAGAAAAAACGGCATATCCATCAGGTGTGCAGCCAACAGGGATGACTGGGCAAAGGAAATTGAGCAGACCAAGGACCGCTACATATTGCGCCAATAATGAATGAATGAATGAATATTAATATACATTGAAAAAGTGGAAAAATATATCTTCACATTTGTTGCCTATGTACGCACAACATTTCGTGTTACATTGTCCAGACCTAATGACTTGCCAAATGCTTCGAAATAATCTTTCTTGCTGATAAAATAGTCTTCAACATAATAAACCTCCATCGCCCCCTTAATATCAACCAAACTGCCCCAGCATTTGACCTTCTTTTAGCAGCTTCTTAAAATATGTTGTTTATCTGTCTACTACATATTCGTTTAGCCATATAATGGATACTGGTCCTTGTTTTCTTTTCCTAGATTTTGCCAATTTTTTCCTCACAGGAGGAATTAAAGCGATTTTGAGAGATCAAGAAGGTCACAGTTTCGATTCCGCCGAATATGACTCCCGAAGATGCATTTTGCGAAGATCACTTTATAAATACATGCACTCTCCAGGATAGATACGTTGTTTCACTTCCGTTTCGTTCTGAACAGCCGATTAGCCTTGATTCCACTCGAGAGATAGTTCTACAAAGATTTAGAAATCTGGAAAATAGATTTATGAGGAATCTGAAGTATAAGTTTGCCTATGCTGCACAGATGGACAAATATATAAGACTGAATCATGTCTGCCTCGCCAAGAGCACTTCTCCATACGTCATGACCATCATGGAGTCATTAAAGATTCTTCCATGACAAAGCTTAGAGTCGTATTTAATGGTTGGGAGATGGTGGGAGAGACCTCGCTCAATAATTTTCTTTTGACTGGTCTGCAGCTCCAAACTGATGTTGAGGAACTTATAGACGCTTTTAAATGCTTCTCTGTGGCCTTAACATGCAATATAAAAATGATGTTTAGGTGTATCCACATTGCCGAAACTAATCAAAATTTATTACTTTCTTTTAGGAGAAGTGAATCTTCACAGCCGATCCATGAGTATGAGTTGGTTACCTTGCCAATTGGGTTGAAATGTTCTCCCTTTATTGTTCAGAGAGTCATTCTACAGTTATTTCGGGAAGAATGTCATAATGTTCCTAAAGCTGCCCAGTGTCATGACCAGATTTATGTAGACAATCAAATCATTGGTGCTTGCAATAGTGATGAAGCTCTGGATCTGTATAATAAGTTGATGGCCTTATTTGAAGCAGGTGGGTTTGAACTCCAGCAATTCCGAAAAATTACTTTCTGTTATACCAGAGGTTAGTGAAGAAGTTACGTTATACCTGGATGGAGATTCCTTGACTGTCAAGGTTTTGGGATCCTAAACTTGATAATTTTATGTATTCAATACAGGAAAGTGAGCCTATTTTCACAAAGTGAAGTATTCTATCCTTCATTGCCAACATTTTTTATATAAATGGATATATCAGCCCAGTAATTTTTTCTGTTAAATGCCTATTACAACGTTTGTGGCTGCTTAAGGTTGATTGGGATGATGAGGTGTGTCTTCATTGTGGAAGGTTTTCCTTGAAGAGTTTCCGAACTTGAAAAATGTTTGCCTGCCTCGTTGTATTGTCAGCCAGAATGCATCATCCAAGCAACTAATCGCCTTTTTGGACACTTCCGAGAGGGGTTACAGATGTGTGATCTACCTGAGAGTTGGGTGTCCAGTAGAAGCTACTAAAATTCATTTGTTAAGTGCAAAAAGTAAGGTGGCTTCACTTAAGGTTCAATCAGTGCCTCATTTGGAATTAAACGCTGCTCTTCTTGCCTCCAGACTACCTGCGTGTATTCCCCATATAGTGTGCCCAGTGAACTATGTATTTAATGTAGACCATGTTGATTATTTCTTTTGTAAACAACTAATGTTTGTAATATTTTTAATATAAGTATTTATGAATTAAAATTAAATGAAAATAAAAAGAGCTTGGACTAAGAGTTCTCAGGGCCTAATTAAAACAATTGTTACTAGTGTTGCCTCTCACTAACCTGTAAACAGGTCTGAGGGCTGGTTATTAGTTTAAATAGGAGTATGGTCCCTAGGGTAGGCACTCTCTTCCAAGTCACTACCTCTTTCTCCACAAAGGCTCCTGGGATCTCTCTGTCTGACAGTTTGATACCAGACCGTTGTGTTATTCTTTTATCTTATCTACTCTCCTTCCTCTCGCCCTCTACTCTCCTAACCTACCTCTTTTCTCCTACCAGTTTTCTCGGTCGCTGCTGAGTTGCTTTATTTCTACAAGGGTCTTGCCGCTGTTATCCCGAATCCTCTGGATTGGATCCTGATAGGAGATTCTAGGTCAGCAATGTGGTCTTCTACCTGTAGGTCTAGCTTTCAGTGTCCTAGGTTCCCTTACTTCATCCATTCGACAAACATGTCGAAACCATTTTAACTGTCTGTTTTCTATGATGGTATTTAATGGAGGTACTTCTAGTTGCTCTCTGATGGTATTGTTTTGGATGTAATCTTGCCTTATCTTTCCCACTATTCTACATAAGAATTTCATTTCAGCAGCAGTGATTCGGCTGATATGCTTGTCGAGCATCACCCAGCTCTCTCCACCATATGTAAGGACTGATAGGTATATAGCTTTATATCTGTGTATCTTAACATCTCGCCCTACCTCACGGTGTCCTAGAATGCTATTGTTAATCTGGTAGTACACCTGGTTCTCTTTAGTGATTTTAATTCCTAATTCTTGGTCTTACTTCAGCACTTACTAGACAAACGCTCTAAACTTCCAATTAATTGCAAAAGACTCATATACTTGACTATAATAAGGCCGATTTGGACTTACGGAGTTGAGCTATGGGGCTCTACTAAACCATCGAATTCCTCTCGTATCCAATCCTTACAATCCAAAATCCTTCGTAAAATCCTCAATGCTCCCTATTTTGTTACAAATAAAACCATCCATAATGACCTTAAAGTTTCTTTTGTTTCAGATCTGGCCCAATCCAGATACCTATCCTTCCATAATAAACTTCAGAATCATCCCAACTCTCTCGTTTCTAACCTTGCTTCCTCTTCAATTCCTGATAACCCTCCGAGGAGTCAAAAAAGAATATGGCTCCGTGATCTCCTAATGGAGACATATCATTAGAGCGCTACCATTGGGTAGTTACTCAGCAAGTGTTTTCATGTCATTATATCCATTATGTTCAAATTTACTAGATCTATTTATTCAATACAGTTGTAAATATCATTAAGAAATAATAAAAAATAAAAAAATTCTTGGTCAATTCTGCCAGACCTATCTATATTGGTTTCCAGGTAGTTAAATTCATTCACTACTTCAATGATCTTAGGATCTTCTAGGATCCTAACCATTGCACAGCATTTCAACATTTTTCTTCTTCATTGCGTGAGAACAAGGACCTTGCTTTTGGAGTGGTTGATGGACATTCCTTTACGTAGTAGTTCTGCTTCCCATTCCACCAGAGCTTGTAATTTTTCTTTAGAGTCCGCTATTAGGACAATATCATCGGCATATAAGAGACATTTCACCAAATTGCAGGCTTTATGGATCTTACCCATCAGAACCACGAATAGGAAAGGGCTAAGGTTGTCCCCCTGTCTGACCCCTCTATCAAGAGGGAATGATTTGGATTCCCTGCCATTTATTCTTACAACTCCCTTTGCATTTCTGTAGATGGATTTAATGGCCTGCAGCAGATCTGATGTTATATTCTTTGCAGTAAGAGCATTCCATATTTCATGTCTAGGCACAGAATCGAACGCAGCATTGAGATCTAGAATAGCCATATAAATAGTTTTATTTCTGTCCCATACTTTTTCAGAAATGTTTTGAAGCACAAAGATGTGGGTTGGTCCTGGGTCTGTCTCCCTGGGTGGAAACCTTCCTGCTCCCTTCAAGTTGACTTTCCACAATGCCTCTCAATCTTCTTTCACAGATAGAGGTGTACATTTTATAGGCTACGGACAGCAAGCTAATCAGTCTATAGTTTTTGCATACAGTTGAGGGGGCTTTCTTATATATGGGGACTAAATCGCAGTATTCCCAATCTATAGGAATTATCTTGCTATTCTGAACAGTTTGGAATAGTCCTTGAATTGCCTTCTGGAGCTCTTCACCACAAAATTTCAGGAATTCAGGTGAAATTCCATATCTTCCCACTGCTTTATTTACCTTCATCTTTTCAAGAGCATATTCCACCTCGGCTTCTTCTATAGGCTCTTGATTCTCCTCTAATGCAGGCTGTGCATGCAGAGCTGGTGTACCACATTCTTCATGGAAGAGATCTTGGTAGTGGAGCCTCCATCGTTCTAAGATATCATCTGGGGCAGTCATTATGTTGCCTCTTTCATCCTTTACATTCCTGATTGGTTTTTTGTGTTTTCCTTTCAGGTACTTCACGGTCTGCCAAAACCGTTTGATATTTTCTCGGTGGTTTCCATCTATACTTTTACCAAACTGCTTCCAAGTTTGCCTTTTTCCTGAACGTATTGCTGTTTTGTCCTCATTTCTTAGTCAGCGGTATTCAATTAGGGAGGCATGACTTTTATCACGTAAATATGCTAGTCATGATGTCTTTTTCTTTTTAACTAATTGCCTAATGGTATCACTCCACCATTTGGTATGCTTTTTTCTACCACCCACCTTTTGAATGCCACAGACCTCCTTAGCGATATCAATATGCATGTTTTGATATTGTTCTATTGTTCCTGCACATCTCCTGAAAGGTCCAGTCCTCTGATTCTCTCCTCCAGTTGAGTAGTATATTGGGCTCTCTTCTTTGGGCTGTCAAGCTTGTGGGTTGTCAAGAGGCCGCTCGTCAGCACAATGGTGTCGTAAAGCGAGCAATTGCAATCACACGATCACTATGACCACCATCAATAAAGCGTGCAACCAGGACCAAGCAGTGCAACCACTCTTGCCATCCATCCAAAGCGCCACCAGGGCTCTGGCGGCGCCCTGTAGTAACAATGTGATCAGATGAAAATAAAATTTCAATCTGACCTCAGAGATCAATTAGTAACGGGATCCACGATCATTACGATTGCTATAAGGGCGATCTGGATCTATCCTGGTGGTCATCATCTGGCTTATGCTGATGATGTAATAACAGCAAAAAATAAAAAACCTTTAGCTGGGGAATTAGAAGAAGTTGAATCTGCAGCAAAAGAACTAGGGCTAAAAATAAATTAATAAAAGACTATTTATATGTCAATGTCAAGAAATCCGAGTGGAACAGCTGAATATGCCAATAGATAACTATATAATAAAATTCGTCAAAAAGTTTAAGTATTTGAGAGCGCTAATTACTAAAATTAATGAAATGGTGGAAGAATTAAAAGATAGCAGGCTGCCAGGAATAGGTATTGTTTTACAATGCAAAAACGACTGAATTATATCTTTTTCATAACGACTGAATAACCCTTTCTCACAGAATAAAGATCAATGTGTATGAGAAAGTCATAAGACCCATCATCACCTATGGTTCTGAGACTTGGTGATCTCTAAAGCTTCAGAAAAAAGGCTACTCGTATGGTAGAGAAGGGTTCTCACCAGGTTCTTGTCAGGGCGCGAACAAGGACAATGGAAAATTCATACCAATAACGATCTGCACTAGATGTATATGAAGCCGGATTTGGTCCCAATTGTCAGGGGTAACCAGGTAAATAACTAAAAGCTAGAGAATAAATAAATGAAATTGCTCAATATAAAATAAAAAAGGAGGGAAAAAATCAAAAGTGAATTATAATGATTGAAACCTTATCAAACTTTTAACACTCATTATAAACCAAAGAAAAAAAAATGTATAACTAAAAAAGAAAAGACTTAATCAATCCATTAGTTCTGAGTTAATGTCTTTAAAATATAACCATTTTGATGGAATCTCTAGGGAGACAGTTTCTTTATAAACATTTTTAATTTTAATTTTTGTTTATTTATTTATTTCCTTCTTTTTTTTTTTTAATATTACAACTATCAGACAAAACTATTAAGATTTTGATAAATCAATATTTTTTTAACATTCAAATTGTATGTTTAAAAGAGGGGTCAAGTAATGTAATAGTATCTTCAATACCAATAAATCCAAAAATCCCATTACATAAACACTTCTTATGTGAGAAATCTTCAGAAAAAATGTTTCACTATAATCAAACCAAAAAACTCTCCTACGTCCTAGAACTCCACACTCTATATTCCACCAATTACTCTTTAAACACAAGATCTCAACTTATTGATTTATATATTCCCTTTTATAAAACTAATTCCTTCAGCAAATCTTTCATCATACGTGCCACCTCCTTCTGGAATACCTTATCCACCACTATTCATTAGTCCTCCTCCTCACATTCCTTTAAACACAATTTGTTTCATCACCTAATTCGTAATTAAACTATCACACTAATGTATGCAATATTAATTCATGTAAAAATTATCATAGTAGATTTCTTAAGTTAACATTAAGCCAGGCAATATGCCTAAAATCAGAACATTGTAATTATTCTTAGAGGACTTTGTCCCAGAGTAAAATTATTTTTTCATTTCATTTTTCATCCATTTATTATAAGAATTTTAGGTCAAAAGAAAATAACTAAACAATTTACCTTATGTAGTGATAATATTTCTGGAATTGAAGACAAAATTCCTTTGTAAATATGTAACATATCACCCAAAGGCTCCCAATCCAACTTTGGTTGCTCCTCAAATAATTTTCCGATTTCATCATAAGTACTCCCTACTTTCCTGATACCAGCTGTAAGTTCATCGGATCCAGAACCTACTGATTTAAAATATTTACTGGTAAAATACATAAATAAATACACACAAATTATATACTACTTTTGTTATTCTAATGTATGGAAGCAAACAAAATTTATAAGTATAACAAATCTATAATTTTAAGTTCCTGAAACTAAGCTCCAATACTCCAAATTCTTTTTAAGATTTTTTTTTAGTAGTTTAAAGATCTTTTTTCAAATTATAAAAACTTCTTTGAATGCTCACAAGTGTAATATGTATTTATTACGTTTTTCTAAGAAAAAGAAAAGACAAAGTTCAGTCAGGAAACCCCTTTACAAACCTACAGTATACGGATTCCTACCAATTATCCTTCATGCATATTTACTTCCGTCCAAAACCATTTTTCACTATGACTACATATGTATCAAGATGAATAAACAGAAACCTTTCTCTTAATGATAACTGCAAATGAACTAAGGTGGAAGGGCCATCAATGGGACGCAGAATAGGGCAAAGATAGATTCTTGGAAATCAAAACTAATGAATATAAAAAGAACACCGTCAACTCCCCTCCCAAATCCTGGGAAAGGAGAAGAGGTCCCCACTGCAGCCAGAATGGGTGTACCTTATTGGAAAAAGCACTGTCTCTGGTCAGTAGCAGCAATTTTAGATCTAAGTTGTGAAGTAGTAGGAGAGCTGGTCAGACAGCTCTGAAGAAGCAGCACTTCTATTTGGCTTTGGGAGCAATGGGTTCATAACTCGCTTTCCCAAGACAAAACAAACAATGAAAAGTTCAGAAAGAAATAGAGCCCATCAGATTTTATGGCAACAGACATGGCATGTAAAACAGATCACACAAATGGGCACATGGAACGTTAAAGGCTTAAATGGGAAAGAAGCAGAATTGGTCGAAGAGAAGAAAAGAATGAGGATAGCCATCCTAGGGATAACAGAGACTAAGAAGAAATGCAAAGGAACATGGAATGAGCAGCATACCTATTTCACCAAAACTTGGCTCATTGTGTAAAGGACTGGAAAGCTGTTAGTGCCAGACTCATGTGAGTATAAGTATGTAGTAGAGATGTCTCATACTCTCTACTCATAGCCTACGGACCAAATGATAATGCCACTAGTCTTGAAAAGGAAGCATTTTTCGACTCTGTCCAACATGAGATCGATACATGCAAAAGTATACCAATAATTATGGGGGAACTGAATGGAAGAGTAGGAAAGGATGCAATCAGATGAGGTGGCGCTTTGGGACCAGATGGTGAGGAAAGATGTAACGACAATGGCAAAAGAATTCTAAACTTCTGTCTTGCAAATGATATGTTTGTTAGAAACAGCTTCTTACCACACAAAATGATCCACTAATATACCAGAGAGGAACCAGGTCGAAATGAAAGGTCTATTATCAACTATTTTCTAATACCAAAGAAAACACAGTAGACATAAGAGTCAAAAGAGGCTACGAAATAGGTAGCGACCATTGGCTACTAATAATGGATATAGTCCTCAATAACTCTGCAACCACACCAGGACCATCAAACAGAACACCTACGTTTAAAATAAAATATTTTAACATATTTAAGTACATACCTCATCATATGCATAAGTCATAATTAGAATAATATAGACATAAACCATAAAAGTCATCTTAAAGAAAGTCTTTAAATAAATAATGGTAAGTTTAACTTAGGGCTTGAAATTAAAACTTGGCTTTTATTTTTAGCCAGTTCTAATAAAACTGGAATCTTTATTTTCAATTGTTTTTTGTTATTTTGGAACTAGAACTTTTTCTCATAGAATATTTCAATAAAGATTTTATAGAACTTCTAGTGAACAGTTTTGTTGAATAAATTCGTTTGGTCAAAAATCATATATAAAAAAATTAACAATTGTGTAGTCCATTCTTACCACCCCAAACAGAGGAATGTAAGAAACAGGTTATTCATTCAAGATATATCATATCTGTAATCTATGTCCAATTACTGTATTTTTTTATTTAACATAATTTCTAATTAAAAACATAAATACAAGTTTAACTTTTACCATAAACCCAGAATTTATCTAGGTACAGAAAAGTTCCTCAGAACTTTTAATTTTTTTTTTTAAGTTATATAGAACATTAAAAAAAAAAAAAAAGTTTCATAAGTTTTTTGGTCAGCAATAATCTTTATTTTTCTGTTCACTTTTGCTTTTCTTAAGAGATTTTGTTCCAGAATAAAGTTATTTTTCTATTCTATTCTAAAAGTTTCAAGCCAGACTAAAAATATAACACTATAAAATACATGATTATCTGTTCAAATTTATATCACATAACAGTAAGTTGCAAAAATTAGAGAAAATTTACATGTTTGGGCTTTTTAATACATGAAATACAGCTTATATATTAAATCCAGAAATATAACTATGATAAAATTATGATTCAAACCCTTGAATTAAGTTAAATAAATTTTATAATGATAAGACACTTCAACAGACACAATTAGTTAATATATATTTTTACTTTTCTATCTATACTAGATAAGGAAAGTAATCGGTCAAATTTCCGATATACGGTTTTCAACGGATCTATACGTTTCAGAGCCCCCTGAGTCCAAAAAATACATTTTTAGAAATTGGTCTGTCTATGCCAAGATTTTCCCGGGAACTACTGAACCGATTTTGTTGCTTCTTATTTTATTTAGTAGGGTTTTGACTACTGATGCCTGTGACACAAATTGGATGCTCCATGAACAATAGCTGCTGGGCAATAAATGATATATGTTTTTCTGTAGACTGTAGTGCAAAAATGGTTTTAACGATTTTGATGAAACTTTCCTATAATGTTCTAATAATTGTCCTTTCAATTTTCGTATATGGACTAAATACCTTACAAAACTAAATAAAAATTGTTCATTTCAGACAACTATTAATGAAGTTACAGCTATTCAATTTCCAATATAAGATTAAGGGTTCATATCCTGGTGTTAGAAAGCGGTGAATGAGAGAAAAAAGATAACTAAGGGCCGGTTGCACCGTCATTCATGAATAAAGTTAATATTTTCTGTTTACTAACTCATGTTAAAACTTCACCAATGTTAAGATTTGGGTCCAGTTACGTGATATTGTTAAATAGTTAAAGAAGATGGAAAAAAGAGAAAGAGGGAGCAATTTTTCAGAAAGTGAAAAACAGTCATTGTTTTCCAAAATATCTGAGCATTTCAAAATAATAGGAAACAAAAAAAACTGATGGGTTAACAATCAAAGAGAAAAATTCTGCGTGGGTACAGGTAGCAGAAGAATTTAATGCCACCAACAATGGCTTTAGCTCACCTGCTCAACTAAAGACAGCCAAAGTGAATTTTAAGAGAAAATTGAAAAAAGACAATGCAAATGACAAGGTAGGTGCATCAAAATATTTCATATTAAACACAATTGAGGGGTTTAGAATGATAGTAGTGAGCATGAAATTAGCTTTGTTTTTAGAAAGTGAATGTTTATTATACTTAAATAATGTAAATGTAAGTAAAATTATAATTATTAAGTAAGGAGATGGTCCAGGGTGGCGGTCATAAATAGGCTAAATAGTGGTAAAACTATTTTATTAAAAGTCGACGTTTCGACCCGACTTTGCAGGTCTTCTTCAGGGAGGTGTGCTGCCTAGCAGTTCTAAGTGAAACTCCTAGCTGAACACACCTCCCTAAAGAAGACTTGCAAAGTCGGGTCAAAACGTCGGCTTTTAATAAAATAGTTTTACCACTATTTAGCCTATTTGTGACCATCACCCCAGACCATCTCCTTCCTTTATAATGTAACAGTCAACTATTAAATATTCAATTATAATTATTATAAATATAAAATTGTGATATGTTTAGGTTGAGTTCTACAAAACTGGAAGAGGACCCTCTGTACAAGATAAAATTAATGAATCTAAAGCAAAATTATTGGACCTTCTTGAGCCCCAGTTGGAGCCAATTCCTTCTGAATATGATTCTTCAGCCAATTATTTATCCACAAGTAATGTCATAATTGTATTTTGATATGCAATTCAACTGTATTTGTTTAAAAAAATAAGGATTTTTTAGGAATCTTATTATATCTTATCTTATCTTAATTTCTAGGAAAAAATAAGGAGAAAAAGATATGGCATGAAGTGATAATAACAGCATGACAATTAAAAAGTTATATAATACATGTATTGTTGATATAATTAATTAACTATTAACTTATCCTAATTGAAGTGTTATAATTATAGAGATGAATATGGTGCGCGGACACCGAAAGCTACTCTAAATAAAGTTGTAAAATATAATAGAGACTGTCAATGGTATAAAAAATCCTGATCTTATAAGAACATATAAAACAATCTAAAATTACCTAATAAATAACAAAATTAATTCTCTTTATTATTCTATTTCAGCAAGCCAAGCAGCTGATGAAGATAGTCAAATTACAATAATAGTAGTCCCTAATACTATACCGACACTGGATATTTCTGCAGGAAAAGAAGGTTGTTCAAAAGGAATTTCTTCTGAACCCGAAGCCACCAACAGTAATCGTAGAATGTTTAAAAGAAAATCTCTGATATTTATACATACAGCCAAAGAACATATAATAATAAAAAATTACACGAAAAAAATGAAGTTGAAATGAAAATTCTTAAAGCTGAAATGGAGGAACACATGAAATTAAAAGGCTTACTAGATGAAATAATATCGTTAATAAAATATGAACAAGAAAAAGAGTTAAATTCGAAAAGGAAAAAGTATTAGTTCACATAAAATTAGAACAGGAAAAATAATTAGGTCATATAAAATTGGAGTTCGAAAAGTAGGTGAATTCACTAAAATACAGCAAGAAAAAGTTAAGCTAATGTTTGAAGAAGAAAAATTAAAAGTAGAAATATTTACAATTAAAAATATGTATTAGTTTTCAGAGGTCTCACCTCACTCAAGGTATTTATATGAGTATAGTCGCTATTTAAGTTTTTTTGTATCAATTTTTCAATTTATTAATTTTTCTATATTTTTGGTAATATGGATTGCTTCTATTTTTCTGTGTGTTTAACTATGCTTAAAAATATTATTATCAAAATTAAAGCTATGGTTTTTTTATTATACTGTGTTGTGAGAGGGCTGTAGTATTTATGTTTTTTATGTTGATTGATTCTTGTTTTCTGGAGGTCTCTCCTACAGAGATGGGCAAATGCTACTCTTGAGTACCGTGTACCAAGTATTTTACTCAAATCGAATCACTACTGGGAATTGAATAACTACTTCAGTTAATCATTTGACATCAACTGAAGTAGTAATTAAATTCATTGGTAATCTAAAAAGGTTAATATTTGAGTAAAATACTTAGTACTCAGAGTAGCATTTGCTCATCTCTGCTCTATTATGTATGTTTTGTTAAAATGTTTACATTCTATTTCATAAATGGTTTTCGAAGTTATTGTTATTATACATTACTAGTTTTATACTGTTGTGGTGATCAAAGGTGGACAGTGCTTTTTTAATTTTATTTGTCAAATTTGGGATATAGTATATTTCATGATATTTATTATGTTGTATTTTATTGCGATTTTTTTGTATATTTTATTTCATTTCTCTTTTTATTTTGTCTATAAAAATCTGTTAATAATGTTTGATTTTGTTTTTCTATTTATATTGATTGTATAATCGTTTCTAGGTCAAATATAATTTAACTATTTCATTATCTTTATTATTAAAACTTAAATTGTCTCCTAATGTAAGGAGATTATTTATGTTAATAGGTATATTTTTATTTGTTTTGTTTACTATTCTGTATTTTATTTTGTGTAAAGTTTACTATTTCCAATGGATGTATGTAATTCCTTATATATTTGTAACTACATGATCTCCTTTAATATTTTTGGCATTAATTGAGGTTAATTTAGCATGATCTTCTTTATCAAATAAATTACTGATTTTTATTTTATTAATGTCAGTTTTGTAATTAATTGTTCTATTTTTTCATTTACTATCAATAGGTTTGTTTTATTTCTAGGTCTATAATTTTATTGGCTGATTTCCTAAAATAATCATGATCATTAGTATATATAAAAATAAATTATCAAGGGTTTGTATCATATAATATATATGGGGGTGGTTTTATTATATGTTGTTTAAAAAAGAAGAATATTACATCGGGTAAAATAAAAATGAATTAAAGAAGTATATAGAATAATATATTTTCATATATTAGAAAAAAGTTGTAACAAATGTTATGTCGTTCTAACAGTTTTTATAATAGCCTCTGAGGATGGGTAAAGATCACAAAATGTTAGAGAAATAAAATAAATATAATTATATGGAAGGGAGAAAAAAAATTTCATAGAAATTATACCTATATGTTTAATAAAAGTTTTGAATACACCTTAGTCAATTTCATTTTTTCTTTTTGACTGATAATGTACTAACACATTTAATATAATATTAAAGATAAAGTATTTTTATAATTGTGGAGATTACTACTCAGTGCCACAGTAAATGGTAATAGTAAAGTGCTTAATGAAATAATTGACTTACAAAATGTATTTATTAACTTTTTACCTCAGATAGCCACATTGATTCAACCAGAAATAAGATATGCACATTTGTACACATATAAATTCATAAGACATATACACTTCAAATCATTTATTAAACTAAAACAAGAAATATTGTTAAGGAAGTAAAAATAAATTGATAAATTTCTTGTCAATTTGAAAAATTGGTATTAATTAATGCTCTAGGGGTAGGAATGTCATTATCAGCTGTAATTTCTTGAGAGAAAGCAGAATCTTGAAAATCATCTTCTGGCGCGAGGTAGACATCTTCAGTTTCTAATGCAATATTGTGCAAGACCACAACAGCAACAACAACATTTACTGTTTTTTCAGGTTTCATACTTATTCCAATGACAAGGCAAGGGAATCTTCTTTTCATCACACCAAACGCTCTCTCGATGATATTTCTTGTTTTTATGTGAGCAGCATTATATTTTTCTTCAGCTGCATTGCTGGGATTTAAGAAGGGAGTAAGTAAATAAGATTTGCAGCCATATCCACTGTCTCAATGCAGCCAGAAATTCTTAAATTCTCGTGATTCAAATCTTGCTCGTAATGAGCTTGAATTAAATATTCTACTGTCATGTACAGAGCCAGGCCAACGAGAAACAATATCAAGAATTTTTAAGTTTGCATCACACACTTGTTAAATGTTTTACGAAAACCATCATTTTCGATTCCGAAAAAGTTCATTATCCCCAACTGAAGACTGAATTTTAGTATAGGTGCAGTTGATAGCACCAATTACTGCAGAAAAATAAATAATTTTGTAGAAGTTTCTTAAATTTCAGTTCATATCCCCATCTGTTTGAAGCATTTTAATGAAATGTTTTGATTTTTTGGCAATTAATTTTGTTATTTTGTTACAATTTGTTTTTAGGAAGCAGATTGATAAGATTTAATAAGTCTTCATCTGATGATAAACTTTCTTCTGAAGAATGTTCTTCAGATGAAATAAGATGAAATCATATTTGTAGTCGTCTTGAAAAATGTAAAAAACAAAAACACTACACTAGTATTCTCAGAAGAAGCTAATATTAGTTTGTTGATAGAAGTAACTGTAGGTAAGGTAATACTTTAACATCGTTAAAGTAAACATTTGATCAAGGTCCGAGGTTGGATTAGTTTGTTGTGTTAACTTAACGCGGTGTTAAGGCTAATATACATTGGTGCAACGAAAATTCTGTTAGCCAGTGTTAAACTAATCAAGATTAGTGAAATTAAAGTTAACAATAGATGGTGCAACTGGCCCTAAGTGAAAGTGAGAAAACCTGTTGCCCGCATCACACAAGCTTCGCTATTTCCTCTACTTTTAACAAAAATTATTGTTTGACAAAATTAGGCTATGGCAAAAAGTTTTTGATCAGTAATATTAGTGGACATTGACATTTTTACACTGATCTACCTTAAGCCGGTTTACATTGCTTTAGTTTATCAAATAAATCGTACTCAAATCTTTTCTTTCATCGATTTTCAGGAAATAAATCTAATTCAATTTTTTTTTTTGTTTCTCGATGGACATATGTAAAGATATAAAAACTTTTCTGAAATAAATAGGAAAGTCGTGCGAGTGGACACACCAGATTTTTACTATAATAAATAAAAATGCCTTCAACAGTAGAATAGATTTGTTAGCAAATTAATATTAAATCTTAAATATATTCCCTTTAAATTTGCAAGTAAATAAACCAGTGAAACTAAACATACTTATCAAACAGTGTTCAAAGAGGGTAGTAAAAACAGCTTAACAAAACAAATAATTATAGTCAATACCCTATACTTCAACAAAAGTACCTTTAGGAAGATCTCCCATAGCTTGAGCCAAAGTATTAAAGGCTAGGCCAACCTTTTGATATTCTCTTTTATATGGCCCTTGATGTTTCTTTGTTTGGTCTGACGCAGTTTCCACTAAAATCTTAACAGCTCCATCCATACTTTGAACAAATTTTGTACAGCTCAAAATTTCCTGTTCCCTAAAAGAAAAATTACAGAATAGATGAAATCCAAAGAGCAATAATAACTATAATCATGAATAAAATGTTTATTATACACAAAATTATTTTTAAAATAACCATCCTGAAGTAAATCAAGAATCGCATTATATTTTACATCAAAATGTTCATTGTGAATGTAAAATGGGTATCAATTATTAAATGTATACTAACAATGCGTATTGGTTGATACTCTTTTCGGGAGCCTCAATTGCATAGAAATTAATAGCACCAACAAACTCATCTTTTTCAGCCTTACGTTTTCCTAGTTTCCAGACCTTTTCATCAGTGCATGTGATAAAATGTTCCCAAACTGAAGATCTAAAATGACACATAAATTTAATTTAAAATTTTTACATCAGTAAACTAACTACTACTAAAATTAGTTTAATTATACCTAATGTCTAACAGTGTGTATTAAAATTTTTAAGTTTAAAAATAGTATTAATTTTAAAAATAGTATTAATTGCTCCTTGTAGCAAATCTGTTGTAGCCTATCTTGAGACATTTTTAATTAATATATCTGTGGTAGCCTATTTTCAGAGATCTTTAATTAATAAGATGATCCACCATCTGTAAATTCTTTTGATAACTTCTACTACTAAATTTGTCAATCCTGATTATAATCGTATAATGTAGTTTGGTTTATATTTTGGCCATTTGTCAATTTGTTTGACGTGTTTTGTTTTCAAATTAGGACAATATCATGAAGCCCATATTTTTAAACAATATAATAAAGAACTACTATAAGGAGTATGATGAACTTATATAGGATTTGTTTTGAGGCCCCATACTCATATTTACTCCCTTGTAAAATGATCAGGGCTCTTGCTATAGCAACTTTGCTTTTTTTTCATTGGAGAATTTGTACTTTGAAGGAATTTTCCAGTCAAATTAAATTGAATACCTAACTAAAGGTCTTTGAGTATACTCAATATATCACTATCACATAAACTTATTCACATCCCATAGTTTATAAAATCAGCTGCCATCAAGAGTTTTATTTTCATAAAATTCCCCAATTTTTACCAATAACAATTAAGAGATTGTGACCCACAATATTGGGAACTTGATAAAAAAAATTATGATTACAGATATATAAGTATGTACGGTAACTGAAAATGAAGCCAAACGTCGGCACCAATAAAAACCTTACAAATGACTGCATCCTGACTATTTATCACCTATCATAACATCTTCAACGTGTTGCCAGTATACATTTGAATATATCTTTGTATAAAAACTTATTTTGGCCAATAATGACTCTGAATCATGACAACTTTGTTGTTCCATAGAGTGTAAAACGTCCTGTCTTTTGATATTTTTTCAGAAAGTTCCTAGACTTTCGCTATTTTTTCACAAAACTCCCTAGCTTTTTTTAAAAATAAAATTCCTGGACATTAAATAGTTAAAGGAACACAACTGTAAGCAATTTATTGGTATGTGGGGGGGAGAGGGTGCATGGTAGGGGGTCTGGCCCACCATGTAACTTATTTTTAAAAACACCTCCTGACTACAGTCTACCATTCCAGGCTCATTATCTTCAAGGAAAATCTCCAAATTCTCTGAACAAGATTCAAAATGGAGTTACAGAATTCTTCCATTCAAAACTGAAAGAGCACTATTGTGAAAAAATTGAAATGGGTAAGTTTTTAAAGCTCGATAGTCCATTGTGGGATTAGAAAAAAATGTTATGTACAAAAATGTTAATTTTAAGCTAGTTAAGACTAAATATAACCATTTAATATATATTTCGTTCTAAAATGGAGATATTTAGCATAAAACCAAAAAAGTTAGAAATTTCAATGGTTTTTGGAGAACAGCAGGGAACCCAACAAAGGTTTCTTGGAAGCTTTCAAGGGTGGAAACTTGGATTTTTTATATTCACTACATACCTAAAAATATAAATAAGAAATTTAGTTACCTGACCTTTTACAAGATAAAATGTCTAATTTGACTGGGCTATAGCTGAAAGGAGGTTTGGAGGTCCTTTTTGAAAAAAAGTTCAAGTGGAGTTAGAGAAATAGTGAAGTTAGAGAAATGACCAGGCATACCACTCTTAGTAGTAATGTCTGTTTTGTTTTTAAAGAGAATCAAATTAAACATATTATCATTTTAAATAAGCCATATTTCCCCAAAAAATGTCCCGTAGAATAAAAAGATGATTTTACATCTTTGATTTCCAAAACTCTGTATTCTAAGTCAGTTATGAAATATACACGGTGTTTCAGGGTTAAGTAGCCGAACTGCAAACATGAACTAAGGACCTCAAAATATGAAAAAAATTCCTCTGAAGGTATGTCCGCAAACACTTTGTTTAGGAGATATTTACACCTAAAGATTTTCTTTGTTATGAATTATTTACATTATATGAAATAAAACCTATTTATCTATTCTAACTACTTTATTAATTAGATGTAAACATATCCAACACATGACCTTAATTCCTTACGAAATGGAATAATTGAATCTTGTGAAACAATAACACATATCCAATGCTGTTCTGGCACTGTTGCTGTTAAAGAAGGATGCCGAGCCTGTCTTAATGCTGAAGGAAATCACTTTGAACAACATTTACTATGAATGTTAATCTTTACATTTAATTAATAAAGTAGTTAGAACAAATAAATAGGTTTTATTTATTTCTAATAATGTAAATAATTCATAACAACAAAAATATTTAGGTGTGAATATCTCCTAAACAAAGTGTTTGTGGACATACCTTCAGACGAAATTCGTTTTCTTGTTTTGAGGTCCTTTGTTCATTTTTGCAGTTTGGCCACAACCCTGAAACACCCTGTATTGTACGGAAAAGTATCATGATATTGAAAACTCCACTAAGAACAAATAACCAATTATTACAAAATGGTCTGCATCTCTGTACGTATGTGAACAACTTAGCATTATGTGAAAACATAAGTTATGGGAAACTGAAATTATTTATTTAAGGTAAATAGGTATATGCCTGGGATGTAACAGTATTTTTTTTATACAAACTACTTTCCAGAACTGTTACTTTATATCATATATTTCAGGCTCATACTGTTCAGATTAAGCTCATTAAATTCATGTACAATATAATGGTCTTTAGTATCAGCTAACAGAATTTTCTTTCACTGAAGTTTAATTTTGTCTATTTGGAATAATTACCATCTCTAATTTTTAATAATTACAAAAAAAAAATAGAAACGTTTAAACTATAAAAAAATTTTATAATTATCTTAAGGAGAAAAAAAAAAATTCTTAAGTTGAAAACAAATTTCGAATACGACAAGAGTTGTAGTGACCATATGTAATGTAAAATATATAGGTGGCATTGAATGGTATGTTATCAGCTGTTATATATGTGATAACATGTATATATGTAATAAGTGTTATAATAAATGTTATTTAAGTTGCTCAATTCGTCAAGTTATTTCATCGAACCTCATTTCAATTCAAAAACACAGCTACAAGAGCAATAGTATAATACAACATAAACATTTGAGAAACATTAATATCTAACATATAGTCACAGAAAATAATAGAAAGTGGCAAAAAACTAATGACCAATACTTGTTGTAATTAATAAGCCTACTTTTTTATTAGTCAATAGAAAATAAATGTTTCCATAGAACTTAACTGGAATTTCTATAGAAACTAAATGATATTTTTTAAAATTTATTGTAAGCTTGATATATCAATAATAAATACCCAGCATTATTGTAAAATAAATAGTACACAGAATTATTGTATTATATAATAATAGTCAGTTTTTATATTGATATTTAAAGTGATATTATTAAAGTTTATTTTAAACTAATCCATTATATCCATAATCCATTTTCCCTATTTAAAGTATAATGGTAAGCGAAAGTTGGGTGATGGGCACACCACAGCAGTTTCCTGAAAAATTTATTATTCACTTTTGCTGTTATCAGAAGCATAGGGATATTAAAAATTCTTTTGATCAAGACCATTCCAGAATATTAGGTCAAATATCAGTAATTAGTACTTATAGAAATATTTAAAACATTAAATTTAATCAGTTGGTCCCAATTGGTTCTGAATCTTGGCTTACATTCACAAGTGATTAAGTTTTACCAACCATTGTTGATATATCACCAATTTTGATGTTCGTCTTGATGGCTGCTGTGCTTAGCAATGGACTGCTTTTTCTCTTGTTGCTATACAGTCAATAAACATTTTTTCATCATCATTTTCTACATAATTAGATATATATTTTTTTTTTGTTAAAATACTATAAATAAAATTCATTAACAGCCATATCAGAAAAACAGTGATGCAATTATTCACTAATACCGGTTATTACTAAACACAAATTTATATTAAAAAAAATGAAGTTTAATATAATACAGTGGACTCTCACTTATCTGAACCTCGCTGGTTCAGACCATTTCATAGTCTGAACCACTGTTTAAAAAACAAAAAATTGAAGATTTGATTTTATGTATGTAGTACATATATATATATATATATATATATATATATATATATATATATATATATATATATATATATATATATATATTATATATATACATACACTAAATAAAACTGTATAATCAACAAATTACCAGCTGAGGCTTAAATAATCTAGTTAAAAATACCAAACATTTATTTAAAATAAAATCCAAGTTTTATTAAAATTTGGAAGCACATTTATTTCATCAATTTCTTTATCGATAGATATAAATAACCTTTTCATTAAATTAATCTTCAATGTGAAATTATATTGTTAATACAATGGTAGTCAACACTATCAAGGGGGTTCGAGAGGAGAGTCCACTATATAAACAAAAGAACAAATATAAGTATGCCATAGGTTTATTTTCTATTGAACTACAACATAGGAAAATACCAACCGGGAAAGTACTGGATGACGACAAACACAGTCGACAAAGGCCTGTAGTTGATTTTTTCTATGTTCAATAAATTGTTCCTCATATCTTCCTAAAAAATATAGAACATCAAATATGACTTTAATCAAATAAATAATATGCCTTAATGAGCCGAATAGCAACAAAAACAAATTCTGATAAAAAAGGATTAGTAAGAATGTTTTTTTAAAAAATGTGGAAGTTGAGAATGGATATATCTTTCCAAAGATTTGGATTAATTTGACAAAAAGTATGGATTAATGAGAGCGCAAAGTTTCATAAGAGATGGAAGAATGGTTAGAAGAATGACTAAGAGACATAGCCTGGTAAGTTTTACTAGAATAACAAGTACAAGGATGGTATGAAAAGTTTCCGACCTAATAACACAAAACATTTTTTCTGATTTTTTTTTTTTTTTTTCAACATAGTCTCTTTGTAACTCTACACACTTCTCCCAGCGATCCTTCCATCTCTGCAACCCGTCCACCAAAAAGTACTCGGCGTTTTTCTCTGCAAAATAATTGTTGAAAAAGGTGATTGCCTTTTCATTTGACGAAAATCTCTGTCCTCCGAGCACAATTTTTAGATAAGGGAACAAAAAGAAGTCGCTTAGGGCTAGATCTGATGAGTAAGACAGATGGTCAAGCAGTTCAAACCATAATTCGTGGATTTTCACCATGGCAACTGCTGAGGTGTGAGACAATGTGTTGTCTTGGGTGAAACAGAATTTTATTTTTCTGCAGATGTGGTTGTTTTTCCACAAGTTCTGCCTTCAGCTTGTCAAGTAATGATGCATAGTATGCTCCTGTAATTGCATTTTCTTTTTGAAGATAGTCGATTAAAATAACTCCATGACTAACACAAAAAACAGTCGCCATCACTTTCCCAGCCGAGAAAACAGTTTCTTTTTGAAGTTTCATCTACAGTAATTAATCGGTGGCAAAACTTGGATTTATTGTGCCAAAACTGCGCCAATAGAGCGTTGGAAATGTTCATTCGAACAAATTTTTGGTCTAACATGAACAAAGGTGTCACCCAACGTGCAGACAGCTTTCTGATAACTAAATGTTGATTTAATATGCAATAAACACGTTCTTTTGACATGTTCATTACCTCTGCTATGTTTCTCACTTTAATTCGGCGGTCGTGTAGTACCATTTGGTGAACTTTGGCGATGTTTTCGTCGGTAGTTGCATTTTTTGGATGTTCCGAACATTCATCGTCTTCCAAGCTCTTACGGCCATGTTTAAATTCAGCTACCCAGAATTTCACTGTGGTAAATGATAGTGCTGAGTCCCCTTACACAGAATCCAACTCAACTTTGATTTGCGTAGGCATATTGCCTTTCAAAAACAAATATTTAATGACAGCTTGATACTTGATTTTGTCCATTTTCACAAAAACACTCACATCAACTCACTCAACCGAATGTTACATAAAAACTGCGCGTCCAAAATGGCTGAAACTTTGGTGGGTAACTGTCAACTGGTGAACAACGAAATTCACTTGCTTTTATTTACGAGTGCTGCTATCTTCATGTTGAAGTCAGAAACTTTTCAGACCACCCTCGTACTTTACCAGCTTTAAATTGATCTTAAAAAGGCTACCCAATCAATTGAGCATCAACTAGTTTTACTTTTTTTCCTTTTAAAATCTATAAGAAAGATGTCAGGTCTATTATAATTCCCCGTATAAGATGGTCCCCGTTATAATAGATTCATCCCAATAGAGCTTAACAGGACCGTTTTGAAGGAGTCTATTGGAATGGTACTTATAATTTGTTATTATTATTACTACTATTAATGTTTTAGATGAAAATAAAAATATTAACATACTGCAGTTATCTATCAACCTTTTAATAAATGAGGATCATATGATGTAGCTAAATAAAAATTATTAATTGAAATAAAGATAACAATACTAAATTACTAACAATCAAAATAAATTTTTAAATGAGGTTAACCAAATTTTATTTTCAAAAATCATTTTTCATTCAAAGAGGTAATAAGAACATTAAACTGAAAAAAATAAATATATATATATGTGCGTGTGTGTGTATTAGGCTGTCCCATGATTTCTTTCTCCTTTTAATTTATTTGAGATTGTGCAAGTAAGTCCCAACAATTTTGGAAAATGAATATAAGAGGCTTCCTGAGAAATGGAAGAAGGTAGAGCAGAACGATTCATATACAACACAATAAATTAACCTTAAACAACAAAGAAAGAAAAAAAAAACCTATGGGACACCCTAATATATATAGTTTTAAAAATAAGAGTTAAAAAATCATACAAAATATTTTAAGCTCTTCATTTCATTAATTTGTTTTTTATATATAATTGTATAATAGTGTATAAAAAATCAGAAACAATTTATCATGTTATACTGTCAAGCATGGATCATGTTTCATTTAATTTAATTTTAAACTCTAGTTTTGAAAGTTAAACACAAAGTTTGTTGTAAACAATTATAAAATATAATACCTGAAATCTGTTTATCAGGCAAAGGTGGAATTGGAATAGTAGTATATTTTTCTTCTAGCCTTTCATGTAGCCAATCAAAGTGTTTATATCTCCGTGAAACTTGAATGTTGTTGAACTACAAAAAAACAACAACATACAAATACAAATAGATTATAGAATACATATGAAATAAAATCAAATAACTAATCAAAAACAAAAACAAAAATTGATCACTGGAATAACTGAAGGATTTTTATTTCACTGATGCCCAGGATTTACCAAAGGCCGCCACACATGAGCGAACCATGTGGGCTGAGGGCATCTGGACTGTCTGTTTGGACTTGGTCCAAATGCAGGGAGGGACCCCATGACCGTGACCTAATCAACAAAGAGCCAGTTTTTTAACTAATTTGTGAACTAATTTCATTTGTGTAATATAGTTTGTGGAACAGTAAATGGTAAATGCAAAGCTAATTTGTGAACTACATTTACTATGTGTTCATCTGAAAAATCTCTAAAGAGTACAAATAGAAGATAGTCAGAGTGGCAGCCAAGTATAATATAAAATAGTCTATTGAATATTTAATAGTTGACCATTGCATTATAAAGGAAGGAGATGGTCCGGGGTTGCGGTAATAAATAGGCTAAATAGTGGTAAAACTATTTAGCCTATTTATGACCGCAACCCCAGACCATCTCCTTCCTTTATAAAATAGTCTAACATCCAATCTCTTTGCTTTACGATATGGCCAGCTATCAATACATATAAAACAAAGAATAATTTATAAAAAAGTTTATATTATTTAAAAAAATATATTTTACACTTTAAATTAAATCCTGTCAATAGGAATACCGCATGTTCTGAAAATTCTATTTATCCAACTGTTCTCACCCTCACTTCAAATCTACTATCTGTGTTAGAAATTCATGATCCTCTGAAAATCCAAATCTTATGCTGTCCCACAGCATCTTAGCCGACCCTCAAAATAAAGAAAATTATGAAAAGAAGAAAAGCAGGTAGATGCAAATTTGTTGGTCAACAAAATATGACAGGCAGGTGTGCTAAGTCTCTCCACTTTCATTACAAAAAAAGTTTTCAACAACATAGCTTCAAAAAGCTTCCCACACTTCCTGCGATAATTACTTTCCACTATCCACAAATCTGATACCAATGATTACAGACCTGACAATATTACAGTTAAACTGATAAAATTGTATCTCCACATTCTTGTATTTCTACTCATATCTCCTTGAAAAAACACCTTAGACCAAAAATTGAATACATTGTCTTTCTCATCCCCTAACTTCTGTCCTATTTCTTTCCTCTGTAACATTTTAAAACTGCTGAAATGTCTTGTACGGAATCAATTTTCTAACTTCCTAGAAGAATGTTAGAACCCTCATTAATCCACTCTTATCTGGCTTTTGACTAAACTAATTGATACAATCCATCTGGAAAATAACCCACAACCTTCAAATCCCCATTGAACAAAAAAACTAGCAATCCTTATACTTCTAAATTTATATAAAGTATTTGACACACTGTTGACCATAATATCCTCTTCATTAAACTGCAAAATCTTCCAAAATAGAAATAGACTATAATATAGTATGTAGTCCCAGCTAAACCTCCATCAAAGGCATTGCCTGTCTCCTGTGGTGTTCCTCAGGATTCATTTCTGTTCCCTACTCTATTCGCTGTATATACTAATGACCTTCTCATCCTCATCCAGCATTCCTAATACCACATTTATGCTGACAAATTCTAAATTTACATATCCTTCTCACCTTTTGACCTTTTATCGCCACAAAAAAATTAGAAAAGGACTTGAATCAAAGAAGTCACTGGACAGAAGCTAACAAGCTGATGTTAAATGCTGAAAAGACAAAGGCAATTGTAATAAGTTCCAATCATCTCCTTAAAACTGTCTTATACCCAGCCATCTTCCTAAAGAATAATCCCATAAAACTCTACCCAACCAACCCTCAAAAACCTTGGAATGACCTTTTATCAAACTCTTTCCAATGAAAATATGTCTCTAATATCTCCCACTCTAACTTTTCCACTTTAAAGTTACCTTTATTTACCTATTTTAAAATTACCTAACTTTAAAATTGGTAAATTTTAAGCTGGATATCTTTAAACTGAATTTCTGTTTGGTACAGAGTTCAGAACTGAATAAAAAAAACTAAAACTAACATAAATGATGGCCAATGACATCACAGGCAGGCTTTAACTCTTGTTATTAATTTTCAGAGACGTTCACCATGTCAGCCTAGGTCATTGTTTTTTCAATTATAATTTTTATTATTAATAATTAATGTTTGTAATTAATAATGATTAGAGTTTCAATTTATTTATCTGCCAATAAATTAAGGGGAAGTAATAAAGTAATTATAAGAAAACTATAATGGGCAAGGGGAGTTGAAATAGTGATATGGTTTTATAATTTATAACAATAACGAAAGACTCAGGAGTTCATAATAATGAAGGCTGCAGCTTATATTCCAATTTTTCATCTTTGAATTACAGTGGATATCATATTTAACAACATCAATTGTAACAATGCATCGGCTTTAATAACTAAAACGCCATGTCTGATGATTCAGAAGGCTTTTGTAACATAGCCTTTTAATGGATAAAGTGACAACTGGTATAGCGACTGATTGGATTTAACGACTCAAATTCTTGGAATTTTAAGAAAAAATGATCAGATATAGTGACAGTCGGCTCTCAGAACTCCAAAAACAATTGTGTTTATATCTCACTTATCTAGGAAATCTTTTATTTCATTCTTTCTCTATTTATGCTTCACATTTATAGGGTTAATTTTATCCCCATTCTTAGCATTTACTTCATAATTCTGTTTAGTATTGTAATAACAATATAGAAGAGCAAAAAGTTTTTCCTTAGCAGAAAAATTTCATATATGTTGCAAACTGGAGAGGGAAGAGTCCAATGGTGGCCTGGCTCAAGAATTAAACATAAGTCTTTCAACAAATTGAAAAAATTGTGACTCTATTAGAGAGCAAACTGAATGAGGTGAATCTTATAAATTCTATGACGATTTAACAACAATGATCAACTCACCTCAAAATCAATTCTTAATATGCTGCTATTAGACTAGGAGCTACCGACCATTTCATTTAAAGGACTTGAGTTAGTAATCATTTTAAATTCTAGATAAACCCCATCTGAACGCACAACTTCAGTTAGTCGGTTGAAAGCCGTTGATTGAACATTGAAGCATATTTTGGTCTTTAATTTTTTATTATTGTTATGAATGTTTAAATCTCTCATGGCAACTGAATATATAAAAGCTAAGTAATTTGTTTATATATTCTATTTCAGTTATAAATATAGTTAAATAAGTCAAATCAAAACCATTGAAAAGATAAAAAGCACTACAGTTGAGAGTTACTACAAATAAAATATGCCTTCGATTCCATGCTTTTAACAGCTGTTTAACCCTCTCATATATTCACATGTTTACATGAGACAAAGAGGAAATTTAATGTTCTTTCAAATTTATTATAATGAATTTCTTTGAGAGATGCATAGATTATGAGTTTTGGGAGAAAAACAGATATTTTTTGTGAAACAAGCAAACAGTCAATATTCCTTAACTCCTCACCCGCTTGGCCTACATCATAAAGTTATATATAAAATTCATAGTAAATATTATCTACTTTAACTTTGTATATAATAATAATTTTGATTAAATGTATAGTTTCGGAATCATGTACGAAAAACTAAACAAAGTTCGAGAATTTTGCTGTTTTTTTAATATATTTCAGAAAGATATGGAAAATTTTGTTCGGAAACAACAAATTCAGATTCAACATCTCAAACCAAAGAGAAACTGACTATTTGAATTTTTTCCTCATCCAACTACCATCCAATTGGCCTAATTTGATGACTTTGACAAATCAGTTTTCAAAATATAACTGAGCACATCGTCAGTCATGATGAATTCTCTTTTAGAGACATATTCCGTTTCTATCCCGGTTCCGTTTCTATCTTCCCACAATCTTGTCCAGATCTCTTACAATGTCCCTGTTCCATCCTTTTCTCCCCGAACAATATCCTTCCGAAACCTAGATTATCTCACTCACGAAACATTGTCAGAAGATCTTGACGATATCCAGTGGGATCCCATCTACTCCTCAAAATCCATAGACACCATGGTAGAAATCTTTACCACTCAACTTCACTCTATCCTCGACCGACATGCTCCTCTTATCACAAAAACCATCCGATATCCTCCAGCTCCTTGACTTACTCCTGCTTTGAGGGAGTGTATGAGAGAAAGAGATGCTGCAAGGCGACGGTTTAAACGAACTCGACTTCCTGATGATTTTCTCTCCTACAAACAGCTTCGAAATAACACTCAATCAGCAGTACGCCGTGCTAAATCCCGTTACTACCACCATTCCCTATCCAACTCTCCCAATACCAAGGCTACGTGGGCTATTCTTAGAAAACTGACCATTGGTAATGCACCCCAGTCTCAGTCCAATTCCGTTTCTGCTGATAACCTCAACGCTCACTTTGTCTCCTATCCTCTTGCAACCACATCTCCCACGTCCAATCTGGCTCCTATGTTCTCTTCCTTTAATCCTGATCACTTCTTTCTTTCCCATATTACACCAGATGAGCTCCTTAAATCCATTCAGAAGTCCCATACCAATGATTACGGTCCCGACAACATCCCAGTCAGACTGATTAAAGCCGCATTGCCATCCATTCTTCCGATCCTTTATCATATATACAATTATTCTCTTCAGAATGCTACCTTCCCTACATCCTGGAAAACCGCCCTAGTACGCCCATTGAAGAAGACTTCAAACCCACCAGTTCCTAATGATTTCCAACCGATTTCCCTCCTTTCAAACCTCTCAAAACCATTAGAGCGGTTAGTCCAATCGCAGCTATCCCATTTTTTAGAGGACAAAAATCTCCTAAATCCCTACCAGTCCGGTTTCAGGCCTGGTTATTCTACTCAGTCTGCCCTAATCAAAATTTCCCAAGACCTTCACACAGCCATAGATCAGCAGAAACTAACCATCCTTATTCTCCTAGACTTCTCCAAAGCTTTTGATTCAGTAGACCACAACATCCTCCTAACCAAACTT